GCCCAGCCACTGGAAAAACGTGACACAAGTGGAAAAGAAAAGTGGGGACACGACCCTGGATATTTCGTTGGCCGGAAGAAAATGGCTTCAGCTCTATCTTAACCCATCTCTAAAGAGAATGAAGTCTCTGGGTTAGATACTTAATGTTTTGTAGCTCAACAAAGTTAGACAGAACTTTAAAGAGCGCCTTGGTCAACTCCCTCATAGGTTGAATCTCAGGGAAGTTCTGTTGGAGGAAATGAGGGTACCTTTTTTCTTTCATGAAGTCACCTTCATGAGAATTAAAATTAGCCAGCATCAAGGAAACAGTGGTTGATTTGCCTTTTTTTCTCTCTTCTTTTTTCTTAGTCCTCACCCAAGGATATGTTTCCATTGATTTTAGAGGGAGAGGGAGGAAATGAGGGAGAGGGAGAGAGTTTTTTTTTAGAGAGGGAGGAAATGAGGGAGAGAGGGAGAGAGGGAGAGGGAGAGAGGGAGAGGGAGAGGGAGAGGGAGAGAGAGAGAGAGAGAGAGAGAGAGAGAGAGAGGCAGGCCATGGGTCGGTTCCCTTCCTTAGGCACCCCACTTGAGATGAACCCGCATCCTGGGTCTGTGCCCTGACTGGGAATCGAACCCAGGGACTTTTCAGTGTAGGGGACAGTGCTCCAACCAACTGAGCGCCATCGTCCAGGGTGGTTTATTTGGTTTTATTTCTCACTCCATCAGACCTGAAAGTTAAGAAATATATTTGAGTTTGCTTCTCTTTTATAATTAAGTTTGTAAAGATAGACTAGTTTATTACTCAGAATGGATGTTAATCTAATGTTGTATGCTACATATACAATTGAAATATGTCAAAAGAAAAAAAATTATGCTAATAAAAGTAGAAATTAGTTTTTAAAGGAAAACCATAGCCTTAATTTCAAGTAGAGGTCTCCCGAGTTAACAGAAATTCCTTTGAGTTGTCACAAAGGCATTCAAAGAGCATTGTGTGCCAAACATTAAGTCTTGGTTGGTGTTGGTGCCTCCTTACTGGTTTTAACTGGACTTGTCGGTCTCTTGTAACTTGTTTTTGGTAAGGAGATCCCATTACCAGTTTGAACAGTGTTTTGACATGAAATAGCTCCTAGTAAGGACAACTGCCATTGGTTAAACAAGTCAGAAAGAAGTGACAGTTTTGACACCATCTGTTAATGGACTGGTCATCCTTTAGCATCATTGGGAACCAAGACAACTTCCGGGCATGTGGACCCAGACTGGGCTGGGCCTCCAGTACCAAGCAGAGGTTGCATTGGCCAATCTTTGCCAACATGTGCTTATCTGTGTCAAGTTACTGTTACATTTTGTAGCCAGTGGAAATGGGTGAAAAAGAGGCCAGTAAATTCAAGCTAGTGGCAAATTGAAAAAATTATTTTGCTTACAAAGTGGTAGCGATGAAAAGACAGTTTGAAGCTGGCAAAAGATTTAGCAACAATACTTTCTGCTTCAGATAGAGAGAAAGAGAGAAGAGATTACATTTTGTGGTTTATGTCTGCAATTTCACTTTAACCATTCTTGTTTTAGTGCAGTGATATTGTTATAAACAATACTCAGACTGTTTATTACCTGAAAGTTATAATTTGTCCCTTCAGTGTGATTTTTGGAAGGCATATTGTCTTCTTAGATGTGATTTACTAATGTTTAGAGATTCATATTTTTCCCTTTTAAAAACTGTCCCAATTTTTCAGTGGAAGTCAATAAAAGATAATATTAACCTGAAAGAATTCTGCCTTCTAGCACACTTCATTATAGCATGTGGGAATAGAGTATGGGAGTCAGAGTCACAAACACTTGGTTTCTCTACTGGTCTGTGCCATTTCCAGGCTATTTCGCTTCATGCAATTAATTTACATTTCAAATTTGTTTGTTTTGTTTTTGTAAAATTGGGGAACATAAATTTAAGTTTGTTTATTGAACAGATATTTCTTGAGTGCCTTTAACATACCCCAAGACCTTGAATTAGGTACCTTGTTTTTAGCAATAGGGTACATAAGTCTTTTGAAAATTTGAAGTAGAGTACAGGGAGTTCTGACATGTAAGTAGGGAACCTGACCTGATTTGGAGGTGTCAGGACAAGCTATCCTGAGGAAGTGACTTATAAGACTTGAAGGATGAGGAGGATATGCTAGTTGCAAAGGGGAGGTAGGTGGGTGGACCCTTTGAGGATGAGAGAAGGGCGTGTATACAGCCCTTGAAGAGACTGTTGAGAAGGTTAGATAAGAATGCGTGTTTATTAGTTAGTGCGTTACATGGCACGGAAGCAACCACTGTTAGTTGTATAGAGATGGTTCTTGGCACCATACTCTAATCATCTTGTTCCATAGCAATTATAGAAAGGCCGTCAATCTAGTGGACTCTAACTGCACTAGACCTGGAAATGACTCTGCACACTTTGGTGTCTACTGTCATAACTCTGGCACCGCTACTTGTTAGTTTTTATATCTCTAAAACTGGAATTAGATGTTAAATAAAAGATTCTTTAATGTCCTTACAGAGATACTGTCATCTGATATCAGCATAGTATTATATACTGATGTCAGTATAATATTTTGATTTAACCTTGATGGCATTTTCCTTTAGAAGAGCTTAGACTACCTTATTTAGAATATCTATTCACAAAATAGGAATACCAATCTACCCTAAAAAATAAAATAAAATAAAATAAAATTAGTAAATAGCAGGAGTTTAATTTGCTTCTAGGAAGATCAGGAGTGACTGGAGTTTCATGTCTTGTTTGCTTAAGTGTTTTTGGTTCTAAAGACATTAAATATTCGATAGAGGTACACGTTGTACCTGTGTCTTACTAACATTGATGAGTGTAGAAAAAGGTAAAATTGTATCCTGGAATTTTCCTTTCACTGACTTAACAAGTGAATTAAAAATATTAGAGGAATGTTTTTCATGAAATAAGTGAGGATATCATTTTAAGCTTCTTAATGTGTGAATTTCAGTTAGCAATGTTATATAGATCAGTAAAGGCAAATTAATATTTTATTATGGAATTCATGCAGTATTTATAAGCCAGTTAGTTCTTGGTGCTTTTTATTCCTGTTTCTTTTTTGGACATTTTAATGCTTAATAGCCTATCTGTGGTAACATAAGAAAAGATAAGGTTTTGAAAAGTTAGTCACATGGAAAAAAATCAAATAGATGAGGAGGTTGAAATTAAGGTTAGGTATTTGTGTGTGGGCTAAATATTTCTGTGTATTTTGCCAGTGTTTGTTATAAAAATTAATGAAGTGGCATACAGTGACTACTGACATTAATGTTTAAAATTTAAAAAAATCTGCCCAGCCGTGTGGTTCAGTTGTTGAGCATCAGCCTATGAACTAGGAGATCACGGTTTGATTCCTGGTCAGGGCACATGCCAGGTTTCAGGCTCCATCCCCAGTGCAGGGCATGCAGGAGGCAGCTGATCAGTTATTCTCTCTTATTACTGATGTTTCTGTCTCTCTCTCCCTCTTCCTTCCTCTTTAAAATCAATAAAAAAATTTTAAAAAAATCTATTTGTCTCAACATGTTTCATGTTCTTTTTTTCTCTTTATAGTCTTGTTTTGGTTTGATTTTTTAAAA